CTAACGCTTACCCTTACCCTGATACCGCTGGAGCTCAGACAAAGAACGTCTTCAGAACACCAAAAGAAGATCGCCACATGCCGGCAATATAAGTGACAGGCGCAATCACGCCCTCACCCTATCAGACGCACGACAAAGAGAAACACACAACACAGAGATACACTATATGGTTCGCCCATACACNCTAACGCTTACCCTTACCCTGATACCGCTGGAGCTCAGACAAAGAACGTCTTCAGAACACCAAAAGAAGATCGCCACATGCCGCTAATATAAGTGACAGGCGCAATCACGCCCTCACCCTATCAGACGCACGACAAAGAGAAACACACAACACAGAGATACACTATATGGTTCGCCCATACACGCCAAAAAAAACAGGACAACCCCCCCCACATACCTTACCGACTACATGTACCACGTATATTCTAAACCTCCGCCCTCTTAAACCACAAAATCTCCTTTTTCTCCCACGCGCACGTGAAGTGCGCGATGAGCTCCCTGCGAAACTCTTCGAAGCCGGGAGTCGGAGTCTCGCTTTCCTCGTCCACGTCCATGGCCGCCGCCACTGCCGTCGCCTCCCCCAACCTCCCTGCCGACCCCACCCAAACGCCGTCCTCCTCCATCTCGTCGAGGCGGTTGAAGCTGTGGAGCATGTTGTGGAGGATGCACGCGGTGAACCACACGTTGCCAACCTTCTGTCGTGTGGAGAACAACATTTCACCACCGAAAAGCCTCCAGCGCCCCACTTTTGCCGAAGCAACACTCGATGTCCTTGCTCATGCTCTCCAACCGCCTGCTCCAATCGTGCTCCTCGACGGTGTTGTGCGTCTTGATCGGTGGGATCAGAAGCGGGATCTGTGATACGGCAGACCGAAAATGACTATCGGGTGTTGGTTTAATGCGAACTTGTGTCGAAACAACGTGATCTGTCTCCAAGGACTGCGCAAAGGGGCAAGGCGTGCCAAGAAATAATTCCTTGACAACTACATAAATAGACGCTCCCATCCCAAGCCAGAAATAACAAACAGCTAGGATGGACGGGAATGCAAAACACGAAGTGGTACGGGTACACGTACTAAGTAGAGTACGGCAACGTTCTTGTCTGGTGTGAACTGATCCCGGAGGGGAATAATACACACGGGTTCCCCACCATGAACGGAGCAACAGAAAAAGCAAGGACCGAACGCGACGGGGTTTCGCCAGAGGTTTTCGCACTTACAAACATGACGCTTCTGTGGGCGGGGGTATATCAAAAATGTACCGGCCAGGCTAGTCACGCCCACCCACACCAACAACAAAAAAGTGGTCAACAACCAACAACCGAAACTAACCTTCGGGTACCCCCCGTCCACGATGATCCACGCCCCTGTGTACTCCGTCTCTGTGCCGTCGGCGTTGTAGAGCTTGAACTTGTATCATAGCTCTTCCACGGCTCCTCATCTCGTATTCGCCAGATGGACTTGTCCCGTGCGATGACCGTCTTGTCGTTCTCGGCTCCCGGGTAAGTCTTGGTTGCCGCGATGATGCGGCCAGAATGGTCGCACGTGCACTCCACCACCAGCGACGTGTAGCTCTCCTTGCCGGTGTGGGTGTTCTTCACGGAGAACGGGCAGCCCGGCCAACAGAAGTGGGTGCAGTCCGTAGATCACCTCGCCCCCGGGTAACCACACTTGCGGTAGATCTCCTCGACCTTCTTGAATTCATCCCCGCCCGGGAGGTTCACCCAAGTGTCCCAGAGGCCCTCGGAAAACTTCTCGCAGAAATGGTGGAAAGAAGTCTCTGCGGTCGTGCGGCTCATCAGAGAGAAGGAAGCGACGTCCTGGAAGCAGCATCCCGACGCCAACACCTTCAAAGTACCCATCACCTATGAATGATACAGCAGTACAGGGGGCACACACAACGGCGGGCGGCGGCGGCGGGGGGGGCGGCGGCGGCGGCAGGGGGTTGTAAGCTGTCATGCGAAGGGAATGTATACTCTTTTACCAAGCTGTGGCTCGAATGTATGCTCTTGTATCATCGAGAGAGTTGCAGAGCTTTGCGGGAGACGACGAGTGGGCAAGTACAGCAGTAGGGGTGTGTCGGTGTGTTGAGGATTTTTGCAGCAGAGTGCGTACCATTTTGACGGTATTGGCTTGCTGCTGCAGCTCCGCGCACGTGTGTTACCTCGAGGGCGTCACACACCTGCCATGCGAAGGAAATGCATACTCTTCTACCAAGCTGTGACTCGCTCATGGAACGAACACAACGTGCAATCCCTCGCACATCCATCGGCATTGTTGAATGTAGTACTGCTGCTTCCATCATACTTGCACGGGCTACTTTTCGAGAGTGTCGACACCGAGTGTGACACCTCGGCCAGCAGCGCCGTGCAGACGTAGTTGGAGAGGGAGTGCGCTTCTTTATCATCTACAGCATCTGGTCAAAAATTGCAAACTAGTGTCCTCTCTACGGACACGACGCGGTTCGTTTGTGCACGCAGCAGCAGAGTACGTACCCTTTTTGCGATCTTTGCTTACTGCTCAACTCCGCGCACGTGTGCTACTTCGAGGGCGTGCTACTTCGAGGGTGTAACACCCCGTGAGCTTAGGTACAAGTTCAGCAGTACTTGTAACAGTATACACATTGGTCTGTTCCTCTAGACCGAGGGCACCGATTGTCCAGCAGCGCTGACGTGCACTTGAAGTAAAAAATACAGCGGGCGGTGGTTGTGAACTTCTCGACCAAAATACAACAGCGCGCTGCAGCTTCTCACCGAGCAGCATACAGACTTCACTTCAACAGCAGCTTACATCAGCCTACACACCTTGAGTTCCACGGGTGGGCAATCCCTGCCCGCGACGTCTCTGGCTGAAGACTGGAAGATGGAGGTGACCGTCTGCATGATGCTCTCGAACAACACGAAAGGGATGCGGAAGGTGCCGGCAAACTGCACAGCTTCTCGACATTCCGGGTCCAGCCCCTCCTCCGCAGCATTCAGCTCTCGCAGCTTCAGTACCCACTTCCCCCAGGTTGACCGCCAGTATTCCGGGCGAGGGTAGGAGCGCCGGATGTGCTTCTCGCGCTCCTCCTCCTCCTCCTCCTCCTCCACCCGCAGATCGCCGAACAAACCACCCGGTTCTTGGTCATCATGCTCACCATCGGAGTCGAACGTGTGCATAATGTTCTGCAAACTCGATGCTGCGGCAGCAGCCCCGGTCATTATGGACTCCTCATCCATGTTGGGCGTGGCCTTCTCGTCGGCGCGGCCTTCTCGTGAGTGTGTGTGTAGATGTGTTCGAGATGTGTTCGTGTGTTCTTGTGTTCGAGATGTGTTCGTGTGTTCTTGTGTTGTTGGGGGTGTTTGTGTGCGTTGGCGGCGTATGTGCCGAAAACGCGGCGCTGCTTGCCTTTTCCGCCGCCCAAACATTTTCGCGACCTGCCCCATTTCAAAATGTTTGTCAAACATTTGGTCAACCGAGCGACTTTTTCCCCATTTAAAAATCTTTGAGAATATTTTGCCGAAGATTTACTCCCATAAAAAGTGAAACAAAACTTTTATCCGCAAATGTTTGAAAAATTAGACATTTTTCAAAGATTTGGTGACCATAAACAACAACAACAACAACGTTTAAAATGACTGCACACAAGTTCCAAGTTTTTGAACGACAAATGTCGAAAATTTTGACAAAAAAGTTGGTCCGTTTAAAACGGCCCTTACGTGTCTCTGATCCAAATGCAGCCATTCCGTTTGCAATAGACGCATATAAAGCTGAGTACGGGACACAACCCTAACCCTCGATCTTCATGAGATGAAAAGCCTGATGTGCCACCCCTACTGGGTACGTGATGTCGGGGGCTCTCTTCTGGTGGTGCACTCTGAGCCTGCTCCGGATATCAACTGCTACGCTGCATTGTTGAAGTACTGGGTAGAGAGAGATCGGAACGGTTTTAAATGTGAAGACAACAACAACAACAACAACAACAACAACAACAACAACAATAACAACAACAACAAACAACAAAAACAACAACAACAACAACAACAACAACAACAACAACAACCAGAGCACGTGCTGGTAGCTGACAGCAGTACCGGCAAACTACGCACCTATACACCCCAATAAACAACAACGCGGTGGCTTACCACACACCCTATCTTCCTCACCCACACGTGTAGACCTACCTCCCTTGCATCCACCCTGTCGGAAAAGAATATACGACAGCTTCTGGGAGGCTCGTGTCCGATTCCGTCTCGAGGTGGTACGCACCAAATGGGGTTCAGGACAGCAAGCAAGCAGTGCAGGACAGATTGTGGTTCAGACTTCTGCGAGTGGCTGCACACAACCATTGCCCAATCCACACCTCATCGTCGGGTGACTCGCTCGTGCGCCTCCTCTTGCGAGCATTGCTCGGCAACGGCCACCAGCAGGCCGAGAACCGCGTCGGCGGGCATCTCCACTGGTTGCATTCGAATGGACGGACCCAGTGGCGCGATACGTGCCGGATTGAATTTCTATTGGCCAATTCCCCCCGCCCTTCGCTGCACCATTGCACCAACCCCCGCTAGTGATGACGTACAATTACAATGTATCGCTGGTTGGTGGCCATGTTTGCGTGTTTGCTTGT